CAGGAACGCCCCCAGCGACATACGGCGTGAGCGATGACGGTAAACAGAGCCCCCCCCCGGAGCTTAAACAGCACGCCAGGCCCACAGTGCCTCCTTTGATTATGCCCCCACCTACTCTGTGCCCTCAATATCAAGGGGGATCCCACTGAAGCACTGCGGCATGCAGGTGCTGGGCGGATTAGCATGTCTATGGGATTTCGCTGCGGGCCCCTCCCTCACCGCACAAAGGCCAGGTGGCAAATGGAGGTGCCGGGGCTGGCACTGCCGCGGGCCACGAACTCCGCCTCGCAAGGCACGTCTCCAGCGACGGCTGCGTAATTACTCCAGGGTAACTCACACAGGCTGGTATACTTGTCCTGTCCCCTATTTTCCTGCTTTTATATACGTCGGTATAAGTGTCTCACACAGGAATCGTCAACCTGTCCATACACAGACAAATGTGTTCATGGCAAAATTTATCTTTTGCCGTAATTGGGAAAAAAAATATTTAGGCTACGTTTTTTAATACCATGCGTGTGGTCAAAACTGCATTTTGATCCATATGTCTGTCAGGAGTCACGACTGCGTACCTCGGATGACCGGGCTCAACACAATGTCCTGCCGGTGCCCTGCCTTTCTGGACTACGGGGATTATAAGGGAGGGTGGTGAGCCGGCCGACTCCCTGTAGGCTAAGCAGGCAGGTGAAACATCACAGTGACGGAATGATATTACCATGCAGTGCCGTTACATCTGCAGTGCCATCAGAAACAGTGAGTTTTAAAGAGTACGTCAAAACCTATGGTTCCCCTCAGAACCCTGTTCTCCAATATTTGGTGACACGATCTACAAGCTGACTGCCCTTGGGAGGGCGGGTGTCGTGGGGACACACGAGGTGGATGGTAACTGGGGACTGGAAAGATGGAGAGCAGGACAGGGAGGTCGTCCTACCTGCGTGGCTTTGTCCTTCATGCAGGATGGCCGGTGCTGCATGTGGGGCTCTCTGGGCCACTGCCCAGTGAGGTAGGGCCCCGTGATGGTGTCGAGGGACGAGGTCCGGCGGATGGAGCTGGAGCCACGCACCTGCTGGGGCTTCTGACGCTCTGCTGTGGGACAGGGGAGGACGGGAAGGGCATGAGGCCACAGAGAGCTAACATCGGGAACACGGAGACACAGGGTGTAATGGTGAACAAGCAGGAAGGGCAAACCAAATAGACAAGTAGAGCCAAAGTGCGATAGCTTAACACTGCTGTATGCTTAGAATTTTTCTGGACCATCATGTCTTACCATAAAGAGCCCCCCCCCCCCGACTGAAATGGGAAGAAAGCGAGCGTAGGAGCTTTACACCATACTACAGAAAACCAGTTTAACTCGCCGGCCTTAAATCCGTAGGTGTCGACGGCAAACTTGCCTCCCCATTCATCTGAAATTTCAGTTAACAGTCTGCTGCTGATGACGAGAGCGATAAAAGAAAAACTAATTAATTAAGCAGGCTCTCTTACCTACAGTCATTATAAATCATACAGCAGATGCAATCTCCTGGAACGGTAAACGAGGCACTAAACCAAAATCAGATATCTAAAAATATCTGTCAATTAAAATAACCATCAGGAACCATGGCATGAAGTAAACAGCCTGCCAACTAGCATACTTGCTACATATTACACAGATATCAAACCACTCAAAGAAAAGGTTTATGTTAAAGATCGGGATCTATAGAATTTCTTTATGGAGAACAGGGGACGTAATTCATTTTTGAGGTGCCTTTCATACACAGAGTTGGTAAAACACAGTTATGATTGAATGGCAGATCCTCATTTTATACTTAAAAACATGCATTCAGCAAGACAGGTGCAGTCCTTTCTGCACAAAACTCCACCTCCACCTACTTACCATTTTTTTGGTTATCACATTTCCCATCTTGCTCTCCTTAGAGACACACAGACATGCATATACAGGCGAAAGCACAGCATGGGATCAAAGCACAGGGCTTATCCCGCATCCCTGGGGCGGTTTTCAGGGTTACAGACTCTAGGGTCCAACAGTAATATGATTACTCTGCCAGCTATGGGACTTAAACCTGCAACCTTCCAAACACAGCAACAGACTTCAAACCCACAAAGCCTGACACCACGCATGAAACGGAGTGGGATGGGGTCCACACTACTGGGCATTCTCACAAACTAAGCAGACCATAAAGAGAAAATGAGACATACAGGCCAGAGTAGCAATCACATTACACTCCTCACACTTTCTCAATCCATTTAAATTCTGAGAAAGGGTTGAGAGTCTCATTAAAACTGAAAGAGACTGAACTGCACGTGTGATTGCAGGAGAACTCTAAGAAGCCAGGAATGTATTTGTTAAGCGGTTATGGCTTATTAACTTAGGCGAGTTTAACCAAGCTTCTCACCGACTAGTCACACAACATTTCGTTTCGAGTTTGTCTACAAGATAAGGGGCTTTCCCCACACCAACTTTCCATCATACCTTGACAGAAGGACAGACAAAAAGTATGTATAATAAAAATTATAACAATTAACCCTTTTCTGACATGATAAACTGTCACGTGTGGGCAGTATGCAGATAAAATACCATGCCAGGGATTCTGTGCAAACAAAATACCTGCATATCTGCATAAAGCAATCAGCTGTGTTTTGTTCTTAATTTTTGGAATAACATTTAAATACAAAAAGGAAAAATATGAATCGTCTGTGTTAGATAATTTGGTGTTACTGGTAGCACACAGAAATTAAGTGTCATTTTCTGGTATCTGTTATACTGCAAAACATGATGTGACATGACGTACATCAGAAAAACGCAAGCACCCTCGATGTGGCATGCTGGTGGGGGCGGGCGGGGGGGGGGGTGTAAAAAAAGAAAACACCACCACAAAAAGCAAGGCTGCAAAGGCAGCACGTCCATGCGGAGTGTGGGACACCCAGGCCTGTAACCCTAAGCCACAACAGTTTGATTTATCGAGCCGTGGCTCTAGTCCAGCGTTACTGACCAGGACGACCACACCGGAAGACAAGGCAGCTGTGAACAGAACGTAATTACTGGAGTGCGTCAAGCAGCCCTTTCAGTGACAATGGCAGTGAAAACTACCAACACGCTATGAAGAATTATCCACCTTCGGAAAGGGCATCTTTATCAGAGCACTACACTGGTTCAGATGGATTTTCAGTGTCAGTTACATGAGGGAACTTTAATGGATGAGCCAGATCTCTGCACACAAATCGCCTGCATCATCTGGCAACACCACTACGCTGGGTCTAATGACGATATATATCCCAGTGAATCATCCCTCAATCTGTTCTCCACGAATGGAGACAAGGCGAATGCCCAAGAACTCCGCACCTCCTAGTAACGGATGCTGACAGTCATACGAGCAGGAGGTGCCGTGCCGCATGCACGGGCTTGTGCTGCGGCTCTGCTTCATTCATGTAATTAGAAAGCCAGCCTGATTAACGTGGCAAAAACGCGATGAACAGCTGCACCTCCGTTGGGACAAAAGCATGTTCCAGGGATCCCCTTCTCAGACCCCATCATCCAGCGACCAATCGAACCGCGATCATATCTGTCGGAGTTTCAGCCATCAAACCCACAAGTGTTACTGCGTTCGTCATGTGAAATGTTCGCATTTCTAACAGAAGAGTACAAATCCAGAGACAGCACGCGATGCAGTGGTCAGCGCCATTGCCTCACGCCTCTCGAGAGCATGATGACCAGGAAAAGGAGGGACAGTAGCGGCAGACCCTCCAGAACATTTCCCAACGGCAAAAACAAATGAACACAGCATTGCAACAGCCCAGGCTGCAACGGGCGGCCTAGAAGTAAAGGTGACGGAGCAAAGCAGGAGCCAAGCTATGGGTGACATGCTGACATCGGTTTATGCTCTCAAAAGAGACCCGTCAACTCAATGCTCCTGCCTTGCAAGAATGACTCGCCTGGTAGTGTCGCCTCCAATACCTTCCACAAGATACAGGTCAAATTTAATAATGTGTTTCATTAACTGATGCTGAGTTCAGCTCTCGATTTTATGTAAACAAACAAAAAAAATACTTACTACGTGTAAGATTTTGTAACCAGTCAAGCATTATAGTGCCAATATGGGAGGTTTCCAATGTTCCATAACTGATAAAAATCTGAGTCAGCTGCTTCTGCTGCAACTGGTCACATTACTCAGTAACCCATTATAGCTAATGACCACTAACAGCAACCTGACGTTACTCCAGTGCTAAAAAAAAAATTGAAAACAGTAAATAAAAAATAAAAAACTGAACTGGTTTGCATGAATGCATGATTGTTTTCTTCAAATACTATGGGAAAAGCAAGCGGTAATTCTGGCATAATATGAGTGCGGCAGGAAAGAGAAAAGTAAAACTCAGTTTGGCAAAGGCTCTCTGACCGTATTCCCTGCAATATGGCCAGGCACTCTCTCTGTGGCAGACCCCGGTTTATAAGCGGGGGTCCTTCGCGTGCTGTCGTTGGGGTTAAACGGATCAGCCAGACGGCACAGATTGCAGCGCTGCTGCCCAGGCCACTCCCTCCCCTTTTATTAGTCCCCAGTTAGGCAGATGGAAGGAGTCAGTTGATAGGTGCCACCGACATTGATGCCAAAAGCAGCCTTCAGAAGAGCTGAATGACAGAGGCTCAGTGGGCGCCAGGCGATGTGAGCGCAGAGTATGTCGCCAGGACAAGCCATATTAAAAATGTAAAAAAAAAAATAATTTCCCATGTTTTTTTTTCCCTGATTTGGTGAGATCTGAAGTAAGCATGCCTGTGGTTCTTCTCAAAGTCCACAGATAGTGGATCTGCTGACAATGGGTGACACGATTGGTTAGGGTAGCACAGGCGCTCAAATATACACACGCATGCGCACTCACACACACACACACACACACACACACACACACACAGACTCATACAAAGAGGAGGCTCCATATTCTTCTCCTTCAAAAGCAGGACACGGCTCCAAGCTCTAGCTAGCGGGGAGGAGACTCCCAGCACTGCAGGTTGCTGGTCCCTTTACAAAAACGACAGCTGATAATTATATTCATGCTTTCATTGAACTGGGGGGGGGGGGGGGGACGCTTCTAGGTTTAATGAGTCACTTCTCATCAGAACATAACCATTTGTCATGCACTAGAGTTATATAAAGTTCACACATTTATACAAATTTTAAGTTTTGGACCAATGCACAATTAATTATACACGATTGTTTGTCAGGCCTGGAGGTGCACTGTGACCCTTGTTTGTGAGTTGAATTGCATTCGAGAGTTTGAATATCACGGGTTGCAATCAACCGCTTTCATGCTTTTAAATTATATTTATAATGAGCAAAGCTAGCTGACCAGGTGGTCACCCACAGTTATTCCCCATGCAAACAATTTCACAAAAAAATAAAAAGAAAAAATACTCTAAATCAATTTTGGAGATTAAAATAAGGTTTAAAAATCTTATATGCCCAAAAACATTGCTACTCTGGTCAGAAAAACCTAATCATATGAAATAATGCATATTATTACAGCTACATTACATATGTAATACAGTGACTTCTACTTTCCCAATTTCCTTCTTAACTGTAGTGATAAACGTATAATAAACAGCGTTAATGTAACAAGGAGCAGGGCAGATTTCAATACCATTTACGACCAAATGTGCTTTGTGAGATTCTGTTTTCATTGGCTCTGGGAAGAATAGGTAAAACACGCCAGCCCAGCTTGGAAGGGCGGTATTCACAGGCCGGGTGTACAGTGTACACCTCTGAATTAATCTCAGAGCACTGCATTCATTTGCAGATCACCATGAGCGCTGAACCAGACTGCTTTGTGTTCAAGAGGATTGTTTCAAATGCAAATAACCAACAGCTTCTGATGTTCAGCTGTGTAGCAGGGAGAACAAAACCGCTGAAAGATATCCCAACTTTGTACCCCAGGTGAAACTGGATTACTGGCCTGTAACAGCTTCAGTGCACATGCTGAATGAACAGCCTGTTCCATTTCTACAGGGCCACATATAGGGAACTTATACAGCAGAGGCAGTCTATTTCCCCTTAAAAAAAACACAACAACAACAAAACGAAAAACTCTTCCTTCTCGTTTACAACAAAAGTCACTGGCAAAAATGATCAAATAAAATCCTCTCAAAAGTGGTACGATGAATTCTCAGACTAATAATAATCTAACGAGGAAGTAGGAGAAGGCTGGTTAAAAACCATAGAAAAGATCTCTCGTCGGGAAACATATGGTAATCATTGTGCAGAATCTAGAAAATAGATTTCTGTAATGTTTTTAACATCTCAGGCTAATGTAAATGTGAAGCAGGCATGAAACCAAGATTTGAGTATTTGTCATCATGTCCTCCTATGGGCTACGGACAAGATTGAACAAGTTGTTTCAGAGACAATGAAAGGCTTGTAAGAAACACTGTAGCACAGACAATAGAGGCTTGTAAAAACACCCTGCATTGTGTGTCCAACTAAGCAAATGTGAAGATAAAAACAAACACAAATATTTGACCACGTCTATGTTTCTCACCATTACTGCTCTCATTACCATCTGTGGTTACTCCTGCTGTTCTGTTAGCATTAGCATTTACATCACTGCCACGCCAGCAACGGCCAGACGCGCTCTCCACACACTGAGCGAAAGACAGGTGCTGAGAGTTCACTGAATGCCGTCTGAACGTCGCAGATTTTCAGCTCATGCGTAACCAGTGGGACTGACACATTTCTAATGTATTTGCTTTTTTTTTTTAACATTTAAGAAGCATCAAAACACATTCAATTGGACAAGCGAGAACACTGTAGTGAAATTGCATGGCCTGTATTTGTACTTAGGTTTGGCTGTAACTATCAAGCCTGAATATTCAATTTCAATGGGTTCAAAAAAAAAAAGACTGATATTACCAGGACATGCACTACATTTATATTGTGATTTATGACAAAGGAATGAGTATTTTCATTTCCTGGTTATTTTCCAATAATTACTCATCTCTGGGCAATATACTCCAACTGTATTTTTTTAAAAAACCCTTGCCATCACAAGATATTTAAGTACCTCAATTTGCATGGCTTGTCTTGTTAAATACCACGAATTACTAAGCAAGTATTTTAATAATATATAGACAAAGGATGAAGACATAAAAATGTCAAGGTAGTAAATGCTTCAGATAAAGGCAATACATTCAGCAAAGATCCATGATGTATTTCCATGCTTATAATACCCTAACAACCAAGAGATATGCAATAACCTAACATGACAGTAAGTTTTAGCAGGAGAAGCTGGAAAAAAAATACTGCACGCCAATTACATGCAAGAACAAACTCAGAAGCCACATCATTGTTCTGTTGTTTTTTTAATTATTATTTGTCAAGCTTAATTAAATAGATGTGAGAGTACACACTACATGTTAAGCACCAACTGGACCAGTGAAAAGAAGGGACACCGCTGACCGCATTCTCTGAGGGTTATGTTATAATTAGTTGTTCTAATCCCTGTCATAATGCTACTCTGAGCCTAAGGAGACTCCAGGGGGTTACAATTACAGGTCAGAATAGGGATTAAGGTCAATTTTTACAGACCGACGCGTAAATAAATGCACATTACATAAAGCAGGAGTCAAAACTACTTTGTGAGGCTTAAGCGCATCTTAAGCGGAAGTATTTTTTCCTTAATTTTTGGTGTAATTCCTAAATTTTAATTACCTGTTCTTTCTCTTGTTACCACCAGTGAATCAGACAGTCCATCTGTGACTTTATTTATTTTTATTTTTTTTGTTTTCATGCAGCTATTCATACCTTAATCACCAATTTGGGAGTAAACTACCAGGTTTGGCCTGTGGACGGTTCAGTTATTGAGGGGTTTCTCTAATGGAGAATAACTAATATAGAGGTGATGTCATCATTCCAGAGCCTAAAAGTCACACTTTGGAATGTCACCTCTGTCCCTTGACTTCAAGTGTATTCTCATTTGCCTGAGGATTCTTTCAGTGCCAGTCAAGTGAGATGAGAGATGCCTACTTAAAAGGACTGATTTAAAGTAAATATCTTTTAGTGTTTTCAAATAACTCAGAGTTCCAATTTACATGTCAGGATTTAAGATTTAAAGATCAAGAGTATTATTATGCTGCATTAATGATTTGAGTACAAAGACGTTATGGGATTTTGTACACCTGTCAGCTGATAATTATCAGCTGTTCTCTTATACACCTCAAATGTATTGAAATGTATCAATAGAAAATGTATGCGTTGGAGCCAACATATAGATATATCACCCCACATGCATGTATTTTTTTTTTTTTAACAAGTATCCAATGTTTTTCGTTTGCCTGTTTCAGTTTTTCATTGTGTTGCACTCCAGAGGGAATTTGACTTGGTCTTTGGGCTTAAATGTGAATGCAACTGCAGTCAATGGCACTGGTGAAGTTTTCCGTCACCTCTTGTGTCGGCTTGCACAGGGTTGAAGGTTATTGCTTTTAGGGACACAGGAATGCGAGGCATGACACCCCACAGAAGCCGCACTGCACCAAAAAGACGAGGGCTACCATTTTGTGAAAAAGTATGGGTGGTCGCCATTATGCCCCGCCAACAGCAGAAGATGCTCTTGACAGGGAGGATGAGAACAATCTCCAACAAGATTCATCACCTGTGCTTGCATCGCTGTAGTGAAGGTCATTCTTGTAAAGAAAAGAAAATTCTCACAGCCTTCCAGAAGGCAGCCCTAAACAACGCAAGACTGTTGGCCAAATTCATTGCACTGTTGTGGTCTCAGTGTCACAACGGTGGAAGTTCACCACCTTTCTGTGGTCCATATACCACTTAAAAATTGTGTAATGTTAACTTCCGCCAGATTGTGGTTGATAAACATGCAGGGCGATCTGTGCTAAGCTCTTCTAGATCTCTTGGGACAAAGAAGGCTCTGGGATACAAGAGTTTCCTTAAGGTCTACAACAGTAAATGTCCCAAAACAACATGTATTACTAGAGGCCCAGCAGTTAGGTATGCCTCAATAATGCTCACAGAAACTCTTCACTTGCACTCACAGAGCTCAAATGCCAAACCTCTCATCTCACCGCTGCTTCTGTTAATATGTAAAGCCCCATTTTGGCTTCAGAAGCCTGGTAATTTACGTTGACAATACTTGTTTTCAAAGATCCACGGCACAATAGGTTTCGCAAATGTATCTCAGGTGCTGCAACTAGACCATTAGATGGGTATGCAGCCGTTTAGGGGCTCATTGTTTCCCTTCTACTTCCTGGATACGGTGCATTAACGGTACCCATAGGGGTGCACGAACCTACAGTATAACGTAAGAAGTTCATAACTTTCATATTTCTTCAGCCATTTTTTTGCTCAGTGGTTTAGCATCAACAGCATGACAAACTGCGAGCCGATCCATGCTACATAAGAGCGCCGCAGAGCGACTTGAAACTGGCCAAAAAAAAATGAAAATTAAAGAAAAAGAAAACAGGTTATGTCTCCAGCCGAGAAATCCACGAGGAGAGTGTTTCGGATAGACAGCCGTAGCTGAGGGCCCAGGCGTTTCGCAGCTTAGTAAACTAATGGAAGAATACAGCACCGCTGATCACGTTAGGTTACTCAAAAACATGAGTGTGCCTAACTCTCGCCGACTTCTCTTAAAGAATTGTACCGCGACAGTATATTTCCAATACAGACGCGAAATTAAACTCTTTATTTCTACAGAAAGCGCCGGAGGGGGGTTGCAGTGCGATACCGTACCTCTGCAGACGGGCGAGTTGGGACTCCGCTCCGGCGAGTCCCTGTTGTCCGGTGACAGTCTCTGTCTGGTTACTAGTCTCGGCTCCGCCGAGCCGTTCGCCGCCGGGCTCGACAGCGGCTGTGTCGGGCTGGGGGGACTGGAGCCGCGGCTCGCCACCGAGTGCGATGAGGGAGGGCACGTCGGGCTGTGCTGGCTCGCCCGCAGCAGCTGGTAGGGCACCGTGGCGCGGATGGGCTGCAGCCGGGGGGCGCCGCTGCCGCCGGCTGAGTTGGGGGAAGCGGCGTTGCTGAGCCGCACTCGCGGCTGCTGCTGGTGAGAGGAGTTTGTCGCTGACGCGGACATGATTCGCACCAGCGCGACACTTCTAGTTTTGAGGAAAAAGAGAAAGGAGGTTCCCGTTTCTTCAAAATAAGTTAACGCCAGCGCGCGATAAACATTAAACTTCCTTTGATGACAGTGCCAAGTTTTATGAGTAGTTTAGCTTGTTCTCTCTAGACGTTTAGCTAGCTAAGCAATAAGAATGTTTAATGGCACTAATATATCCTTCACATTAATCGAATCGCCTCATGTTTAACGGTTACTTTAAATGTAATTCTGGTAAAAACAATAACGTGAGTCGAAAAAGTCAATATTCCAGCGTTTCCTCAAGCGCATTCAGCTTTTTCCCAAGCTTTCTCCGAATGACAGCTGCATTAGTACAGCCACTCAATGACGCGAGGGGGCGGGCTACAATCCCGAGCTGCGATCGTCTGATTGGCAGTTCACAGGCAGGGTGCCAGCAGCCATTGGACAAAAGTATTCCGCTGACCAATAACTCCATTGAGGTTTTCCCAAGGTGGGGCGTGGGCTTTTCTCGAAGGCCTATTGGCTTTGGGATTTAATTGACAGGACACACTGTAAGCCGTGAACTTCATACATTGTGAGTGAGCAGGCGGCAGTTGTACTGACTAGACTTTAATTGTCCTGAGGAAAACGATTTCTATCCTCCGGCTAAACATTGACATAGAGAAAATATTCCTCTACACACACGCGGGTATGTATAGTGTAGCCAAACGTTCAGGTGCTTATCTACAGTATCTATAAATATCTCTATATCAAATAATTGAAAATGACAGATCGCCTTAAATTTGTTACATTAAGCGTTAACAAGAAATACATAAGAATAACTTTATGGAACGTGAATCTCATATATTTAATTTTTACACTAATAAAATATGTACGTATCTGGGAAATCACAGACAAATCCCCTTCCATAAGAAGTATACCGCCGCACCCTGTGAAAATAATCCGAAGCAGATAATGTATTCAGTCTGTAATGCATCATTAAGGTTCCTGCTCAGTTTACACTATTTATTAGGCGGTAGGCCACTGAATGTTTACTGTCTATTACATATGGGTCATTTGCAATTATTAAATGGCCACAATCGTATGTGGAGAACTTGGTTGTGCAGATCTTTCAGCGAAGACCCATCTTTCTCGCAGTGGGTCTGTCCTGAAGTGTTAAAGGATATGCTGGTTTTTGATCAATGTCAGTGCTTAATTGCTTTGTTGAAGTAATTATTTGTACAGGGAGTCACCTCACCTAGTCTTTCAAATGTCAGTCAAGAGCTGATTAAAATATGTTCTCTAAAAGCTATAAGGCTCTGGCCCTCGGGGCCCAAGGATCTCCACCCCTCCTACCATGAGCTGTGCAGCGCATAACACACACTCGCTAGACATGATTCCAGAGCTGGGTATGTCCGTAAATGGCACTTTGTAAATATTTATCTTAGACAAAAGCAGAGATTTAAAGGACAAGTTTCCTGAGGGACACTGACTGGGTCCGACTGATGGTTGAAGTACTGATTTTATATTTCGCTCTCAAGGTACCTTTAATATAGTTTTTTTGTTGCTAAGGAAGAATCTCTAGCTGGTAGATGTTAAAAGCCTGTATCCTATTTTTGCCCCCCCCCCCTCACTCCAAAGCCACCTAACCTTAAAAGTCCTTCCTGTCAAGCAAAATGTATAATTTATGTTAACATTTCCCCCCCACACACATAAATATGAAGAACAAGAATGTGCATTTTATGAATAGTTTGAAGTTTAGCAGATATGCTTTTATACAGTGCTTTTTATTACTTATACATGAATATTTTGCTGAGATATTTCTGATTTACCGGTTTGATCAGGTTTACTACATTGGCCTCCAGCTTGGATCTGAAGTAACAGATTGTGGCATCATCTGCATTGGATTTGACCCTTATTGAACACATTTCACCAACACCGCATTAGAGGGGTGATCCGATCAAAAAGGTGGAACAGCTAAGGCTCAGTATTACAAATTTTTAAATTACTCAAAATTCATTTTGTAATAAAATGTGCTTTAATGTGTACCTTGTTGGCCTGGAATTGAGTTTGGATTTTCATTAAGTCTGTCTATAAGACATTATTCTTCCAAAGTTGACTACAAGCATAAGTGTCTGCTTAAGGTGTGAAGGTTTAATTAATGTCACACCCTAAATACTAAAAAGGTATTAGCAAAATATTACTCTGTGTTACACAGCTACTTGTGGAAATTCTATCCCAGGTACTTGTCAGGTTATGACCACAGTTTTATTGTCATAACTAATTGGCAGAACTCCAGCCAAAAGGAAAGAGAGCAGTCTTTAAATATTTACACTGTCCATAGACTACAAAACTGAAGTCTGGCAGGACAGGCATCGTGGCCGGAATCACTGGGAAGAAATAGTAATTTGCCCCCCAAGGAACCTACAGCCGCACTGCTTTAGGAGGCCTTGGGTATGTCACTGGATAAGCTGTCCAAATATAGCCATTGAAAGGCAGGGAACTAAACACTAACAATCTGTCAGTGCTTCTGCAGTCAATTCAAGAAGCGATGGGCCTCGCATGGGGTGTCATTCTGTATTTAAGTGTATTTAAGTTTGTCCCCACATTCTGACTACCGGACTTGATAGACGCTCATTTTTCAGTTCGGGTGGCTATTCTTGCAAAGTTTAGGGGTGACTTTCCTAAATAGTGAATTTCACTAAATAAAATAGTTATATTGAATTGTTATATTGAATCTCGGCCAGATGAAATATTAATAATTCATTTGACGTGAGAAGGAGATGCACAACCGACACACACAGAGCGGAAGTGGGATTTGAACCCATAACCATGGAGGAGCGGGGCCTATCTGCCGCCCCTATTTCTAATATGTGCCTTTTTCCTATAATATAATCAGTGTGCTTGGTGCTACCTGCTGATAAATATCTGCTGATTCTTCAAGGTATAAACATGGCTTTACTATTAAACATACACTGAATACTTACATGAGCTTAACCAGAAGATGTAGAAATACAAGCTTAAGTATATTAGGCACATACAGTATCCACCCTCACTGACATGATGTGAATTCTTTTCTTTATCTGTATTATCCAAAGATAGATTGTTGTTACGGTTAGAAACATAACACCTATCCTCTCTGGGATTTAAACAGATGCTCTGGGGTTAAGTAGAGTGATTTTACACAAAGTTACAGTACTCAATTACTGTGCAATTACAGTACTGTGTGAAGCATTTACCATTGCAGGTCCCCTTACACTACAGACTTTGTGCAGACTTTTTACACTACACTATGTACAGACTTTGTTGTTGACTAGAATAATCTGACTTAACTGCTGTTAAGACAAGGCCTGCTGCTAATTTCTGAATCATGATATACATTTCCACACAATATCAGTCACCAAACCAAATAACATCTCATTCAAAATGAGAAATTAATAAGCATTGTAATATTTTTTACGTTTTGACTGCAATCCCATGTCTGTGTTTATTTTGGAGGAAAAAATTGTATCCCACTGGCAGCCTTGTGTACTGTATATCCCAGCCGTGTGCTCTAGCCCCCCCCCCCCCCC